TACGTAATGAACATTGATAGCCATTTCGTGTTGATTTCAATAACTTGTTTACACAAAGCTACATGCCAATTACTCGACAGAGCCTTGGTAGAATTCGTCCACACTATAATGGGGCCTCTCAACAAGGAATTCTTTTACTCTCTTTCTGAATTTCTTTTCATTATATATATGCCTTAAATTATTGGGAAGGTAATTAAATAACTTCTTGTTGTTGAAAATGATAGAATTTTGTGTAAGGGCTAGAGTAGGTGTTGAAAAGAAAATGAAGTAAGACTGAGGTGTACTATAAGTTGAGATGGTTATTAAACTGATTTTTATATTTTTTTGTGGATAAGACAGACAGACAAAGTAAAAACAGATGCTAAGGTCACAATTTTTTGCTTCACAAATAATGGGCGGCATGAATCCCTGTAGCTACCCTTCCATAAATATCTGATGGATCCTTTATGTAGAGAGAATACCATATTGAAACGAAATTGTGCACAATTCCCCCAGAAACAAATTCCACAACGTAAATTGGACTCAATTTGTGCAAAATAAACTGATCTCATGATAGTACTGTCTAACTCTCTTGCAACAACTCTCTAGCAACAACTCTCTAGCAGCATGACATTCTGCTGCTAGTCTTCTACATAAGTGGGGGAATCAAAGTTTAGATTTTCATCAATGAAGAGCCCCAAAAATTTGTTTTTCTCCACTTTCACTCTTCTTTGATCAAGTAAATTTGAGGCGGTATTGCTATGCCAGAGGATAGTGGTGTTGTCAGCGAAACATGTGAATTCACCAATTATGTCAACATGGACTAAGTCATTGACGTAAATGAGAAACAACACCGGTCCCAAAACGAAACCTTGTGGGCCCCCACTGCCAATGAAAAGTTCCCATGATTGAATTTTATCTAATAGAACATTCTGCGGCTGATGAGAAAGGTACGTCTCAAACCAAAGTAATGCAGATCTTCTAAATCCGCAAACTTCTAGCTTGCGAAGAAGTAGAATGTGGTCCACACAATCGAAGGCCTTGGTTAGGTCACAAAACATGGCCGCCACAGATTCTCTTTCAATAAGATTGGTGTAAAGGTTTTCCAGGAGTGAAAATATATCGTCTTGTGTACCTTTTGAAGACTGAAAGCCAAACTGAAATAAATTTATTATATTATTTTTCTCGAGGAAGGATATTACGAGAGGAATAATTGTTGCTATTTTCTTATTTTAGTAAGTTTTGCTAAGGCTGAAATGACCAGCTCTTGAGTTAGCGAAGGCAAGGGCGAGGTTTGGCTTTCGATTATTACCTGGTCTCATTTGGACGCCATCTACAGTAGATAACAGAAATATTGTACTTCCTTTTCAATACTCATCAAAGTAGATCATTTCATTTGAACTTACACAGTAGTTACCCCAATGGAACAATCCAATAAAACAATGAATAACGTTTACCTGTTTGTTTGAATATTAATAAAATAATATAAGAATCAAAAAAAAAATGAGGTTCTATACCTCTCATCCGTTTTCTCGATAGGAATAATTATCAATATGATCAGAGACAAAATATAGGGGCTTACCCCAGGGTTTAATGCATTGAATCTTACAACTTCTGATCGTAATCCTAACTCCAAGAACCATCAAGGAACCAACGATTTAGTAATCCAAAATTCCGGCAATCTTTATCAGCAGTTATGTAGGATTTAGGTGATCCGATATTCTAGCCAGCTGTTCAAGGACTGCCTTCACTTTTGGAACCCGATTTCGATTTCTATTTCTTACTAATTACTTCAACTACAAGCTTGATTTTGATTCGACCCAAATTACATCAATCAATTCGACTTACATCATACAAACTAATCGGCTTCGTTAAGAAGCTGGATTTAAGTGGTCGAGTGTGAATAGGTGTAAGCCACAATAAAAGCTTGCGGGTTACGGTGGAGAGTCGAATAGACCCACTCACTTTTGACCTAACCTAACTGCTGTAGACTGCCCAGAGGAATGCTAGATCTGTGAAAATAATAAATATAAATTCAAATAATACGTATGTTGCAATCCACAAGTTAACATTAACAAACATATTTTCTTCGTTTGTTTGAAGGTGATTGACAATGTTTCGTGATGAATTTCACTTAAGATACTAGATTTTTTTTAATTTTTAAAATGACATTTTATGTTATAAAAAAATTATTTCTTTTGATAAACTCTCTTTTGCGGCAGCGCGCGTATGCCGTAACAGCCGCGCGGACCCTTATCTCCATTTTTCATGTTTTTGAACTTATTGGTTAGACTACTAGCTACAAAAATAATTTCGACATTCGCTTCTCGCGGGCTTTTTGAATAATCGATTTCCGGTACTTTCTCGACAGAAAGTATACAATTTGAATGGTCACGGATCGAATATTATCAATAAGTTTGTTTTATAGGTGACGTAGATATGTTTGATACAAGCAAAATGGATCGCGGAAGTCTCTTCCAGAGGTCCATCCGGAGCTGACTGAAAACATGAGACTGAGAAGGAGAAGGAAGGCTCAAGTGAGTGGATGGAGAGTCGTTAGGAGATGCGTGTACTCTAGAAAGACGTGGTTACTGGTTTACTAAGAGCGCCATCTCTGGGTTAGTCTCGGGACTTATTGATCCATGTAGTATATCTCGACTGAAGACGTCACTGCTCTTGTGAACGAAACTTCCAATTTATTGTGTTTCATTCTGTATATATTCGACCAAAAATTTCAATTTCATCAATCATGATGAATCAAATTAGTGTCTATTCATAGTAAACATTATCATTAAAAATAAAACAGAAAGCTACCGAAATTCTGATAATTCAGAGCGTTTTGACAAAAACTTGACCATTCCTTGTTTATGTTGGGCTGAAAATTTCGTAGGCTAACACTGAAAAACAAAATGTTGATGAAATTTCATTTAATTATTCACTATAATTGTCTTCGAGGGCAATAAAACAATTATAGCAGCCATACAATTTTCCTAATGCCATTTTTATAGTGCTGTTTGTTTTTAACCTCAAAATAAACCTCAGTTCCGACGATTGCCTCTTCATCAGAGCTAAGTTTCTTTCCATCGAGTATTCTCTTGGGGTCTGAGAGCAGAAAAAGTCGCTAGAGGCCAGATCTGAAGAATACGATGGATGCGACTCGTGAGTTGGGCTACCTATCGGGCGCGTTCCCAGGTGGCGGATAGGGGAACGGCCAGGGTACTGGGGGCCCTATCCAGGAAGCCAATATGTAGCCTTACGGACGGGATCGCCGGACTCCTAGTCAGTGGCAGAAATAAGTAGGATGAGGAGAACTAAAACTCACCAAAAGCCTTTGCAAACTATGCCACCGTGGACCAGCCTACCCAAGCTAAGGTGTAAGGAATCGTGCCGACAGCTGAATAGTCGCAGGGTGATATGCGGTTACGAACTATCCCCTTGAGGAACCGGGCGAAACCCCATTGTAATCAGCCTTCCTCTGGTAATGCGGGGCTCTGCCAGAGGTGACCAACTCTTCCCTTGCAACTCGTGGGAACACACATACATGAAACAAACAAAACAGACACAACAAAAACCAATCCCGAGACTGGACAGTGCTCACCTCAATCTTTGGCGGTGGCTGGGGATGAACAGAAATGTCCACCCCTATGTGCCGCTTGGAATGAGGCTGGACATAGCATGTCACGTCGTAATGTAATAAAAAGGCCAAGGCGTAAGCGCATTTGCGACGCCGAGGCCAAAAGGAGAAAGAGAGCGAAAGAGGCTGGAGTGGCGGCAACTATAAGTGCATTCTCATCCTCCCCCACTCCACCTCCAACAGCAAGGGCACTTCTTGCGGCAGGCGCCAAGATCTCCGCCTTGAATAAAGGCAAGAAACCGGCTGCCACTGCAGGAAAGCGTCCTCACTTGAACACCTCCACTAGGGGAACCCCAGGAAGGTTGAAGAAGCCGCGCAACGACAGTAATGTCGCTGTACCTGCCAAAACCTTCGCAGAGGCCATCGTGGGATACCTCAAGGTTGCCAAAGAGAGTGTGTTACTGTCAACTAAGGAAACACCTCCATAATATGAGGCTGGTGGACACACCTCTATGCAGGATGTGTGAACAGGAAGATCAAACAATCCGGCATGTCTTATGCGAGTGTCCGAAGTTATCGTCAATAAGAGAGTGGGTGTTTGGCGAGTCTTGACCTACACCTGCCGATATAAAGGAGATGTCTCCCAGTGACCTGTCCACCTTCCTGGAAAGGGCAGAATGGACGATGACCCAAGAGGACAACTCCTCGGGAGGATGTACAATGGGTCACATGTGGCCTAAGTGCTGTGGACCTACAGTCACCCCCCCTACTCGCAATATTCGCCAAGTTATGGTCTGCGAAAGGCCGAGTTCTTATATAGCGACGCAAAAACGACCGCCTCAGATTCTCCTGCAAACTTTCACAGACAGTGGCAATGACTTCGGCACATCTTTCTTTCTGTCGACGTATGGGTATTGGTCGATCACTTATCGAACCAGTGGACTCAAATTAATCCACCACATGGCGAATAGCCTTCTCGATAAGACGGTTGGGGTGACCGTAAAATGGGAGAAGTGCGCAGACTTTGCCCGAACAAACACCCATTTTGATAAAACGTTATTAATATTTGCACGTGTTGTTGAATGCTATATCCGTCCATGGTGATTCGAAAAAACATACTTGAATGACTACAATGAAATGAATGAAATTACTTTTGCCTAATTTCCACTAGTTCCACTAGTATTGCTACGTCCGGTTTTCCACAACATAAATGAGTCATCAATTACACAAACTAAAGAAATGACAAATAAATTGTAAGGTTTTTTGAATTTTCTGTCACACGTCCATTTTTGGGTTATAGCTAACGGGTCAAATTTTTATTGGAACGCTCTGTGAAGCATATACTCTCAAGTTTCTAGTAGTGAGAGAAGAGAAGGGTCTGTTTGAACTTTACATATGCAGACCGTTTAGACAAGAGTTTATGACAGCCTTTCTTATCAGTTTTGGATTTTTTCTTCGTCCTCCTAGCTTCAAAATTTCAATTCTCTACCATAAGTATTCCTGAATAACTTTTCCGTCGCTTTCGAGTGTTATTTCACATTGGTCCTTCGAGCCGGATATGGTTTTGCCTGTGAAAGGTAAAACAATTCTTCCAAAAAAATCCCATATTTCCTTCTTGTTCCTCAGCTACGGCACTAATTCGATATTTTGCAGATAGCCTACAGACGAAAATTGGTCATCGAACCGAATGTGAATCAAAACTTGTCCCTGATAGGAAAAAGGCTCGATTTGCGACGAAAGCACATGAAAAAAACCTGCAAACTTCTAGGCTTGGACCGCCAAGGTAACGACAGCCTACACAGGCCCAACCCATGGGAATTTCTGGTAGACAATAAGCACCATCTCGTCTGGTGCAACGTCTTCAAAGCTGCCAGCACTTCCTGGATGTACAACTTCAACATATTAGCAGGGTAAGCCAATATGACAGTCAAATTGATACAAAGAGGTGGTCAATCAATTTTTTTGCTTTCAGCTACAGTCCTCAGTTCTTGAAGAAGAGCAAACTAGTGCCTATGACTTTAGCGAGGCAAAGATATCCCCGTCCTTCTCTGTTCGCTCTGCGAAAGGCTTTCAACACATCCATCTCGTTTTTAATAGTACGCCATCCGCTAGAACGACTGCTTTCCGCTTATCGGGACAAACTCCAATATGCTCTGCCACATACACATCACAAAAAACTCGGCAACGAAATCATCATGAAGTACAGATACAGAAGAAAGGTGAGGTTGTAGTTGGTAGAAGCATTGTTAGAAGAGTATCAGCTATGTAGTATCCCTCAAATATTGTTAATAGTTCACCCTTATAGCATTCCAAATTCGGACGCTGACAAAGTGCAGATCTTGTTGAGGGCTACTATAGAAAGTCGACACTTCTCTTCTATACACAAGAATTGTAACAATCATTTCGGTACGTTAATACTATGGTATGATCAATCATCCCCTGGTAACACCAACTTATTTGATGAAACGTGCATCGCGAAGAGTTAAAATTTCGTTGTACAGGAGTATTTTTGTCGGATTATTAAGAAAGCGTTCAACAAGAAAATAGCAACAAGCTTCTGGAGTAATCTATGGTGTTGAATAATGCAAAACTACTGCCAGAGCTAACCACACAAAGTTCATAAAATCTAGATCTAAGATTCTACTACAATTCAGTGGTTGCACTTGAAAAAATGTCGATATCCCCACAGATTCACTACTTTCATAAATAACAGTATATAGAAATACTAGCTGACCCGGCAAACGTTCTGTCACATGAATTATTTCTATCAAAACAATAACACTTACAAATAATATTAATCTCTCAGTGCTATAGTGTGTATAACATTTACAGTTTGTCAAGAGTAGGAAAAAGTTTCAAAATCAGGAGTGGACACGCCCACAGCCCAGACAATCGAATTTGTCTGTTGTGAAGTGGGTTTCGCGGGTTAACCAAGTGTAGAGTCCGAGCAGAAATAAAGCGTAAAGGGTACAATTTGAGTATTGTAACCAGGATGGAGTTTAAATCAAACCTAAATCGTAAATTGCTGACAATTCAAACGAGGGAAGTTATAGCCAATGTAATTTTTTATGCAACGAGAAGTGGCAGAAAATAAACCTATAAGGACTTTAAAAAAGTTCAAGAAAGAGCTGCTATGGCAACTGGCGTAAGTTTAAGCAGTATACAAAGAATTTCAAAGGAAATGAAATCGATTGAGAATGGAGAAGCCGCTGCTTTGTTGACACCAAATATAAAAAGAAAGAAAGCCGCAGCTAAAACTAACTTAGATGGTTTTGATAAAGGATTGCTTCGAAGATTTATTATTAATTATTATACTGTCGATAAAAAGGTTCCAACTCTTCGGCGCATACATCATAAATTCAAATCCGAAAATAACTATGCTGGCTCCTACGAAAGCTTGAGAAAAGTTATGCATTACATGGGATTTCTTTGGAGGAAAACGAGAAATAGTCGAAAAGTTAAGAACAAATTTTTGCGAAGTATGACAAACTTTCGGGAAGAAAAGCGACCCATAATTTGGATGCTTTGTATTGTTTTATTTGCAATAATTTTCTAACTCAAAAGAATACTAATCCCATAATTAAACAAGTTATCTTTGTAGCCCTCATTTCCTGTCTTGACCAAAATTATTTTGAATTCAATAATGAGATGAACTAATAGTGGGGACTTTGTACGTTGGTTTCACAGTTTATTCAGGAGACTGTACATTTACACTAAACAGAAACAATTTTAATCGCAAATATGTGCATCTTTGTTCCTCCGATTGCTTTCTACCTCTTCGTATTGTATAATATTTTTCGGTCTATGTTCAACTAAAACAAACAAATTTGAAGGTTTTCCCAGTTGAAAGCATGCCACGTATAATGATCCGTGTGAAAAACATAAGCTTAGCACTTATTAATAGTTAAATGTTTGGGGTTGAACACCCTCATCACTTAGGGGTATGAAAAATTCATTTTTTTCAACTGGTATCACGCATCAAGACTACGTTTTATGTATTGTTGATATATTCGTTTCAGCAACAGCGCAGCGTCTTCTCCCAAAAATGGCCGACATTCCCGGAGTTCGTCGATTACCTGGTGGATTCGGTGCGACAGGGCGAACGACTCGACATGCACTGGAGCCCCATCGTTGAGTTCTGCACGCCCTGCATGTTCGACTTCCAGGTGATCGCCCACACCGAGACCCTGCAGGAGGACCAACAATACCTCATCGAAATGGCGCATCTAGGCCACCTGATTCGGCCAGAGTGGAGGAACGCGGGAAAGGGAAACACTGGGAATCAAGTGGCCAAGTATTACTCGCAGCTGACGAGGTCGCAGATTCTGCAGCTGTACCACATTTACAGGTGAATTTCTCTTTACCAGATACCACACGTATGGGTACTCCCACCTGTGAAATATTTTGACAACACTCTACTCACGGACATATCTTTTTCCCATCGACAACTATGCTCAATAGCCTCATGTTCTGAGTAGACCCACGTCAGGCTAGTATCCAGACGGGGTTATTCTGCTCATTTTGTAGACCCGCTAGAAGACATTGGTCTACATAGAATGTGTCTCTTGAGTTATTATATTTTGTAGCCGACTACAGCTGCAGTTACTTTTGTAGCTTGGGCGGAAAGTATTTTTGGCAGCTTACTACTAACTCAGAGAGCCAGGTGTTTCTAGAGTCACTTGGATGTCCTGGAATATCTTCATCAATTTGTGTAGGAAGTCATTTTCCGTCGTTCTATTCTATCATAAATAAATGACGTAGATTTACGCCTGAAATATAGTCGACAAATTCCTAGATAGGTTGATATATTTGTCCTTGGTCTGCGACTGAATACACCTGCATCTCCAGTTGATTCTTGAAGGTGTAAGGTCCGAGGTCATTCCCAGAATGTTGGGACTTACAGTGTCCACAGTATGTTTTCTTGTCGTGTCTTGAAGCCGCTAATGAGTGCGTCAAATGTCTCCGGATATAGCTGGCTAAACCTATTTATGTAGATAGATAGATAGATAGATTTATTTGATCATATTATATGTAAATTACATTTATGACAAGTCAGGAAATAATGGTACAATGTACACAGTTGTGTATGAATAAAAAAGACAGTAAAATTTGTGATGATTCAGCACAACAGCTAAAACATGAAAATATTAAAATCATTTCGTATATGTACAGTTCATATAATCTTTCAAATTATAAAAAACAGTCTTTTATTAGATAATTTTTTCACCTTCCTCTTGAATACATTCGTGCACAACAATACTAGATCAGAAGGCAAAACATTGTAGAGTTTGATATCCAGCGAATTACGCACTGACATTTCTAGCCTGACCGGGGGTTGTATCAGTTTTTGTGCATTTCTGGTAGTGTAATTGTGGTAGTCTGAACGGAATGCTCTGAGAGCATAGGAAGATCTACCCCATAGGAGTAGACCATATGTTAGGTGAGCGTGGAATAGTGAATGATAGGAGGTTATTAGTGTTTGGGTGCTCAGAACTTGCCTCAGCCTACGAAGTAGATAAAGTTGGCTAGATAGTTTTTCACACAACATTTCAGTGAATCATCGACAGTTATGGCAAGAAGTTTAACATGATTGTTATTTGTTAAGAGATTATTTGATGATATAATAATATTTTGCGTTTTATCCCTATTTAGCTTCAACTTGTTTCGTGAGAACCATTTTTCCGCCCTTTCTTTCAGTTCTTGGTTTACTTTTAATATAACGTCAATATCGGAACTTTCATTTAGCATTGTCGTATCGTCTGCAAAGCAAATTATTGTTTTGGGAAGCGTAGAGTCGAAAATGTCATTTATGTAGATAACAAATAATGTAGGTCCCAGAACAGACCCCTGAGGGATGCCATGAGACATTTTTATATATAACAGAGTATTATCCAAATAAACTGCTTGTTTCCTTGAAGAGAGATAGAATATAAAGAAATTTAAAGATGTTCCTCGGATTCCATGGTACTCAAGTTTTTTGATAAGGAGATTGTGATTAACACAATCAAATGCTTTGCTCAGATCCCACAACGTTAAAGAGGTGTGTTCGCCACGTTCCACATTGTTTAAAAAATTGCCCTGGCTGACAAACTTTTGGACTTTGGGCGTGTTTTAATTATCTGATCTCGAAACTGAAGTCTATGAATTTACTCTCGTGAATAAGGACTGTCAAAGATGGAAAATGTCAATTTGTATATTATCGAAAACACTTTGAGAGAATTTCGTATAATCAAAACAGAATGGTTTAATAAACCAAAACCGGTCATAACAAATAAAAAACTTGGTATAAATCAGACAAAAGGTTTTTTTATCCAATATTAGAAATCAGGTGATTTGTCGCATCGCCTTTGATAAAGCCTTTGAAAACCATCGGACAACTGACTAGGTACTGAAATTGTGCGATTCAACCCGGTTCGACTTTTTCTGGTGGGGTTTTCTTGAATATGCGAATAAACCAGAAACCACGGCGGTCTTCAAAGCCATAATAAACCATGCTATCGGTCAATTTCAGCCTGATTCATGGAGTCAGATGCGCTCCACTATGAGAAGCTGTGGAGGACATTTGAACGATATTATGTTTTATGTCTTTCACTGGTGGGGTTTTCTTGAATATGCGAATAAACCAGAAACCACGGCGGTCTTCAAAGCCAAAATAACCATGCTATCGGTCAATTTCAGCCTGATTCATGGAGTCAGATGCGCTCCACTAAGAGAAGCTGTGGAGGACATTTGAACGATATTATGTTTTATGTCTTTCAAACGAATGAAAAATTTCGATGATATCTCACACAAACTTTGTTTTATTTACATTCAAATAAATGAAGCGCTCAATGAAAGACCCTCAACTTTTTTTCAGGTACGATTTCGAACTGTTCAACTACTCCATACAGGGATATCTCGAGCTAGGCATACCAGACAAAGACCCATCTAACCTTTTGGATGCAATAACGATGAAGGATTTCCATCAGAACGATTCGCCCAAGGTCTATTGAACGAGGAAGGTAGAATAAAGCATACCTGAGTACAAAACGTATCCGTCTTCAAGGCCCTATATCAAACTCAATGAATTGTGATAAATTATCGATAGTTTCCTAGTGCTTATCTGTACTCGGTGCTTGGAATTGACTAATCGAAATTATTAACATGTTAGAAGTTGTTTACCATATTAAAATTCCAGTTACGTATTTTTGGCGACTTTTTTTGAAGATTAAGAATAAAGGGAAACAATGAAAAAAGTATCTTACCTTGTGCCATTATTTTGAATGGTGAATCCCAGAGAATATTTCCCATTAAACAGTTTCTTCCATGTGGGTGATATGCTAACAGACTCTTCATCTACTTCATCATTATTAATTTCAACTAACTTCTGAATATGTTTCTTTCTTTCGCTAATAGTTTGTGATATTTTGGCATTATTAGCTTTCAATTCCATCAGCTTATGCTTGAGAAATCCCTTGATTTCATCGTTGTCAAGGTCCAAGTCATCCACATCTACATCCATTACTACAAACACTTCGTAAATAACCAGATGGAACCAGAGCCCAAAAGTATTGCTTTGTCTTATCCAATACCAAACAGTGCAATATTAATTTACGGTGAATAGTCACTTCTAATCTTTCCTGAAAACAATAATTGACGTTAACGTCAATATAGTCACTTCTGAACTCTATTAAAACAATAATTGAGGTTATTCAGCCACTTCTACCTCTAATTGAGACAATAAGTTACGCAAACGTGGCTATAGTCACATCCAATTTCTACTAAAAATAATAATTGACGTTAACGTGAAATTAGTCACGTCTAACCTCTACCTGAGTTGATTTACTTATACTTACTCGGTAAACAATTTGCTGATTCGAAAGCACAACAATGATTTCATCTACCAATTTTGCTGTTCCTGATTAGGTCCCACGAAATATCTTTAAATTTTCACAAATTATCGATTAACAAAACATGCATGTTATATTAGAAAAATCAATGCACCCTTTGTCCAAGGATTGCACCATAATAAACAAACATTGCATCAGCCACTACGCAGTTACCCAGGAAATGACTCAGCATATTCAGCACATTTCCAAGGTTTTTCTAGAACATTCGAAGAAACGCATATCTACTAGATGATAAGAAGAAAAAAATGTTATATAATATATACCTTTTCATCGGTGGGGGAAGCGACTATAGATTTTTAAATTGAACCATCCGCTTGTGTTAGTAGTGGAATTGGAATTTTGTAAAGTTCTGATTAGCAGCTTTAGCTACCGACCAGAAGAATCTAGACCCGTCGGGATTGGCAAGCAGTTTATCCCTAATTCTCTGAATGTGAAAATATTTGCTTTCATTTATCCTAAGTTTGCAGCTGTTGTGAGCAATAACAAACTTATAGTAGAGGAGCCCAAGCCGGGGATTTCGGGATTTACTAAAGCGCGGCAGATTAATATACAGGGGTATACCTGGTAACCGGTTGAGTACCTCCACCAAATATGAGTCCCATATATAAGGCTGCCTGTGAGGGATAAACGATCAGATTAGTAAAAAAAAGTTGATCATCAGAAATTCTTGAGCGCGTCAGATTAAGGTAGGGTGAGTTAATTACCTGCTAAAAAGTGTATATTCCAGTAATCTGACAATTTGAGAGTGACGTAAAAAAAGGGGAGGGCAGCAAAGTTGTAAAGAAAATAACGTCACTTCGACATTCTCGTGCGTAGCTAATTTTTTTTATTTTGAAGGAAATAATTCAAGAATAACGAAAAATATATAATCTGACGATTTCCGCAAGCCAAAATAGCAAAAATTCGTCGAGAAAGTTTAAAGCGTACAGCTGCGTGATACCTATATTTCCCTCTCCGAGTTTCTGTTCCTCTATTCTCTATTCACCTTTTCTCTATCTATTACTCTCTCACTCCGTCCCCACACTGAATTCTGTTGTCATGACGCCATCACAGCTGAACACATCAGAGACTCGTTCGTGATGAAGATGAAGATGATGATTAATAGATAGATAGATAGATAGATAGATCTTTATTTAAATAGGATATCCTAATAATATACAAATCAACTAGAATGTTAGAAATAAAAAAAAGGTATGTGTTACATATAGAAATGACTTAAATGTATGACAAACATAAGTTCAATAAAATATATTTAAAGACATTACTACAATGCAATAATTTTCTAACTCAAAAGAATACTAAGCCCATAATTAAACAAGTTATCTTTATAACCCTCATTTCCTGTCTTGACCAAAATTATTTTGAATTCAATAATGAGATGGACTAATAGTGGTTGGTTATTCAGGAGACTGTACATTTACACTAAACAGAAACAATTTTAATCGCAAATATGTGCATCTTTGTTCCTCCGATTGCTTTCTACCGTTGCGCGCAGGTCGCAAAAATTTCACCTTTTTTCCTATTGTATAATGTTTTTCGGTCTATGTTTAACTAAAACAAACAAATTTGAAGGTTTTCCCAGTTGAAAGCATGCCACGTATAATGATCCGTGTGAAAAACATAAGCTTAGCACTTATTAATAGTCATTGCAAATGTCAATCTGAATTGGCACATCACTGGGTATAATAGGGACTCATGGTATTAATATATTTTAACCTCGGAACTTGCCATTCAAAATGCTGGCTTCGACAACATTTTCATTGATTTCTTTATGACTAATCGCGTGCCGTTGCACAGCCGTGGTGTGCAATAGCACGCGATTTGCCAGGTATACACCACGGCTGTGCAACACCGGTAGACGCCTGACGGGAATAACTGATCTATCATCAGGGTTAGAAATGATTGAGTTGCTAAAATGGCTATCAAAAAATAGTGGTTGATAATAGAAGTGTTAAAATTGGGGGTTATATGTATTTTTTAATGCCACATCATAAAAAAATATGTCCAAAAATTTTTTTAAATGTTTGGGGTTGAACTACGGGTATGAAAAATTATTTTTTTTTCAACTGATATCAGGCATCAAGACTACCTTTTATGTATTGTTGATATATTCGTTTCAGCAACAGCGCAGCGTCTTCTCCCAAAAATGGCCGACATTTCCGGAATTCGTCGAGTACCTGGTGGATTCGGTGCGACAGGGCGAACGACTAGACATGCACTGGAGCCCCATCGTTGAGTTCTGCACGCCCTGCATGTTCGACTTCCAGGTGATCGCCCACACCGAGACCCTTCAGGAGGACCAACAATACCTCATCGAAATGGCGCATCTAGGCCACCTGATTCGGCCAGAGTGGAGGAACGCGGGAAAGGGAAACACCGGGAATCAAGTGGCCAAGTATTACTCGCAGCTGACGAGGTCGCAGATTCTGCAGCTGTACCACATTTACAGGTGAATTTCTCTTTACCAGATACCACACGTATGGGTACTCGCACCTGTAAAATATTTTGACAACACTACCTAAGGGCATATTTTTTTTCTTCCATCGCCATCGCTATCGACAACTATGCCCAATAGCCTCGTGTTCTGAGTAAGCCCACGTCAAGCCAGGAAATATTCTGCTAATGTTGTAGACCCACTAAAAGACATTGGGCTACATAGAATTTATGTCTATGACAATATAGAATTTGTCTCTAAGTTATTATATTTTGTAGCCGACTACAGCTAAGTATTTTTTGGCAGCTTACTACCATCCCACAGAGCCAGGTGTTTCTAGAGTCACTTGGATGTTCTTTAATATATTCTATCAAATGAATGACGTAGATTTTCGCCTGAAATATAGTCGTCAAGTTCCTAGATAGGTTGGTATATCTGTCCTTGGCCTGCGTCTGAATACACCTGCACCTGTAGTTGATTGTTGAAGGTATGAGGTCTGAGGTAATTTCAAGAATGTTGGGACTTTCAGTCCCAACAGTATGTTTTCCACATAGTTTCCCTCTCCAGCAAGATGTGGAGAGGTGGTTGGTCTGGAAGGACTGCCATAGTTGCTGATGAGTGTGTCAAATGTCATGTACAATAGAGTTTGGTCTGAACCTTCTGCTATGCCACCAGAAAATTGCTCCGTATAGTAGGTTTCACGGTAAATGGTATTGGCTAAACGATTATAATGAAACCAATTAGACCCTTGAGTTGTAAAACCCGAATCAAATGAAGGGAAGAGAATCACAATATTACACTATACTACATAATGGGATTAAGCCATCTGATATTGTCAATGGATTTGTTTAGAGTCCTAAGCTCCAAAATCTTCCACATATTCCTTGTGTCGTAGGTGAAGTCTGGGTTTGTGTGAAACTTTTTCTAAGTAAGCATTCCAGATGAGTTTCTATCAAGGATGATTACAATAATACTCCACTACCGCTGCAAATGGAATAACCCCACCGTTGGAGAAAGTTAAGTTGACAGTCCAGATTCATCTTACTGGTAGAGGATTACTACACTTTTGATGGGGTTTACAGACATGTACTCCCTTTGGCACCATGTGATGTTTGGCACATGGTCCAACGTTCTTTGGAAACTACCTACCGTATTCTCTGCAGGATGTCAAGTTGACGGCTTTAACTAACTCATACGCTTTTCATATTGAAGACGAATTTTCAACTTCAACGGTGAGTCAAACGATTGATCTGATGGATTTTTTCTGTTGATCTTCCAAGCATGTTCCCATGAATTAAAAAAATTGCCCTGGCTGACAAACTTTTGGACTTTGGGCGTGTTTTAATTATCTGATCTCGAAACTGAAGTCTATGAATTTACTCTCGTGAATAAGGACTGTCAAAGATGGAAAATGTCAATTTGTATATTATCGAAAACACTTTGAGAGAATTTCGTATAATCAAAACAGAATGGTTTAATAAACCAAAACCGGTCATAACAAATAAAAAACTTGGTATAAATCAGACAAAAGGTTTTTTTATCCAATATTAGAAATCAGGTGATTTGTCGCATCGCCTTTGATAAAGCCTTTGAAAACCATCGGACAACTGACTAGGTACTGAAATTGTGCGATTCAACCCGGTTCGACTTTTTCTGGTGGGGTTTTCTTGAATATGCGAATAAACCAGAAACCACGGCGGTCTTCAAAGCCATAATAAACCATGCTATCGGTCAATTTCAGCCTGATTCATGGAGTCAGATGCGCTCCACTATGAGAAGCTGTGGAGGACATTTGAACGATATTATGTTTTATGTCTTTCACTGGTGGGGTTTTCTTGAATATGCGAATAAACCAGAAACCACGGCGGTCTTCAAAGCCAAAATAACCATGCTATCGGTCAATTTCAGCCTGATTCATGGAGTCAGATGCGCTCCACTAAGAGAAGCTGTGGAGGACATTTGAACGATATTATGTTTTATGTCTTTCAAACGAATGAAAAATTTCGATGATATCTCACACAAACTTTGTTTTATTTACATTCAAATAAATGAAGCGCTCAATGAAAGACCCTCAACTTTTTTTCAGGTACGATTTCGAACTGTTCAACTACTCCATACAGGGATATCTCGAGCTAGGTATACCAGACAAAGACCCATCTAACCTTTTGGATGCAATAACGATGAAGGATTTCCATCAGAACGATTCGCCCAAGGTCTATTGAACTTTTTTTAACTAAATCCAAAGGTGTCATATCAGGTAATCTAGCAGACCAATCGGAGTGACCAATGTGGGAAAAGTATCCTGATTTCCTGAAATTTCTCAGTTATTCCATGAATAATTTGTCTGGCATAAGTATAATAATTCTGAGGTACTATTCTATTGGTTCCATGGATAAACGGTTCTTTTTATATTAAAAAAAATACTCAGTACCAGTGTTGCATAGAAAATTGAAAGAACTGAATTGGCGTATCACAACCTATATAGGTTGTTGCAAAAGTTTTGTCCGTTTTCATGAGTACTTTGAACTGTAATATCTCAGTGAAGGAAAAATTGGCAGGAAATCGCTTAACGATATCACATGGTAATACTCTGAAAAGAGACAAAAAAATTTAATTTGGAGAACATTCTCTATCGATCAGAATATTTCACGACACAGTAGAATTAATTATATGCATATGGACCTACAAAAACACATGTCAATGGAAAGGACAAAACTATTGAAACAACCTAATATTTCCAAAAAAGTTTTACTCGGGAATAGCTAGATGATAAGAAGAAAAAAATGTTATATAATATATACCTTTTCATCGGTGGGGGAAGCCACTATAGATTTTTAAATTGAACCATCCGCTTGTGTTAGTAGTGGAATTGGAACTTTGTAAAGTTCTGATTAGCAGCTATAGCTACCGACCAGAAGGATCTAGACCCGTCGGGATTGGCAAGCAGTTTATCCCTAATTCTCTGAATGTGGAGTTCTTTGCTATAGATGAAACTTTCAAGATGGCAACTGGGCGCCATTTGGGAAAAAATTAAATGCTCGAAATGGTTGCCTTAAACTTTTCGACATATGAACGGCTTATCCGATATTTCACGCCGAACATTTCAATAATAATAATAATCTTTATTGAAATAGGAAACCTAATATACATATCTATGAGTGTAATAATAACACTAGCACAATGAAATATAAAAAAAAATGTATGTGAAAAATTTTAAATTTAAACAATTTGAGATTTAAACTAGCATGTAGCCAGACAATGAACATTACATATAAAGATTTCAGTATCATATGTTAAGTAACATTTAAATAGATAATGAAATATAGGTACATATATACATTGAATTATTATTAAAACAGTGATATTTGGTTTCATTACAGATACAAATACCCTAGTGAACAATTAAAAACAATAGATAACAATAGATGATAGCCCAATAAATGATAGCCAATAATATCCCAAATAATTCCACATAACCATACAATTTGTATTCCATTACTTTTTTTTTATCCTTTAAGTGCTCTTTTAAATTCATTTGAAATTGATATTTTTTTTATTTCTTCCGGTAATTCATTGAACTCGTGGAATCCCCTAAAAAATAACGAGTTCATGGTACTTCCGAATGCCGGTCTGTTTATATGTACCTACCTATATTATTGGAATTTCTCGTATTATAATTATGAATATTTAAGTTCAATGAATTGAAAACATTTAAAAAAAAATATTGTTTTTGTCAGATTAAGCGAACCCCTCTAGATAATCGTCAGATTATGAGACAACACGTCTAAAACATCAAGATGAACCATATATATCTTAATCTGACGCGATTGAGTATTCCAAAACGGCGAATTTTTTTTTGCACATTATAATAATGGCGGCGAGTTTGCGTCAGATCGAAATTGTCAGATTATTGAATGAGAGCTTTTTTTTGTTGCGCTTAACACCACCTTAGAAAATCTGACGCGCTCGATATTTCTAAGGCCTTTGACCGTGTGTGGCATGAGGGTTTGCTGGCCAAACTTTGATATACATATGGCTTGACGGATCATTTTTGTGTATGGCTCTTCAGCTTCCTGAAAGAACATTCCCTGCTTTACTGACGACAGCACACCTGTCTCGTCATTCCAGGTGGATTCCAGGACATCGGCTGCAGAGGCATATCTTCACCGACAGCAGGACGTTGTATATCTTAATGAGGATCTGATAGTGATTTCGAATTGGGGAGAAAGTAACCAGGATGAATTCAATGCAACAAATACCCAGGCATCGGTTTTCTCCAAGAAGATAAATATCTCCGAACCGGCTATAGTAATATCAGGTCGTACAATTCCGCTTTCTGCTTCGATAGGTATGTTTGGGGTTGAAATGAACACCAATATGTCTTGGTACAATCATGTCGCTGGAATTGCAAAAGCTTTGATCATTGTTTCGAACCAGAAAACTATACACACCTCAGCAACTTTTGATGCTTTTTAAAGCTCAGATCAGACTTTCTTTGGAGTATTGTTCTTATTAATGGAGCTCTGCTCCCAAACATACCCTAAAGTTGCTGGATTCCATCCAGAAAAGATCTATCCGCCTGATTGGAGACGCGAACGCCTCGTGCAACCTTTATAGCCTGGAACATCGAAGAAACGTTGGAGATTTGTCTCTCTTCTATAGATACTTTTACGGGAAGTGACTTGGCACATTTGATTCCACCAAGAGCGGTACATATCAGAAATAGGCGACGGACTGTGGCTCCTTATCGTTTTGAGGTTCAACTCAGTACACCTCGAACTTCACTATTTGAAAACTCTTTCATCTGGAGAACTGCGTTTATGTGGAATAAACTTCCTGAAAACTTTTTTCCAAATGGATTTAATCTCCAGCGATTCAAATCCAATGGTGCATTCCAGGTGAAAAGACTTTAATTTTTTTTTATTTATTGGGATAAAGAACATGGATGAAAATGTACAGTTCACCTCTGGTCACAACCACAAAGATAACAAATCAGGAAATTCCAAATGCAGATGGTAA